AGTTGGACCGAATAATCCAAACAAGAGTTATTGTGGTCATCGGCTGCCACTCATTTGGAGCCTGTCATCAGATTTGAAGTCACACTGAGAGTGCTGGGAATTTTTCGTGTGGTACGAGACTCACTCAAACATTGGGTATCAGACCGAACAGTTGCACTGCTGTAAATCTGGGACAACTATCCAAGCCGGTCCCGGACATCACTTGACCCCAACTATCATACATCAAGTTAGTGAGCTTGCGATCCAACCGTGAAGTCAGGTGGACACGGAAAGCCAAGGAAATGGAAGAGGCCCAGAAAGCCGTGAATGCCCGAAGATTTTTGCGGTTGATCCGTTTGACCGACCGCGGAAACGGCCGGTGACCGAAACCATCAAGGATGAGTTGGGAGCGACCATCTTGAATAAAGGAAAACACCGGTGGGGGGAATACTTTGAACAACAGTTATGGCGTCCACCAGGTACCACTCGTTCGGACCTCCTGGAATCTCCTGGGGCGTCGGAGATTTTTAAGTGTATATGTTCTCTCAAGCTCCACCGAGTTATTGGTCTGGATGGCCTACCACGTACATTGTTCAAAGATTGGAAAATACTTCTGTCAGAGCTTGTCTGATCTGTTTTCCTGCATTTGGGAAAAGGAGACTCCGGGTCAACTGGGGAGAGTCAGCCCATTTTCAAAAAAGTGGCTCGTAATGGATGTCATAACCACAGGGAAATCGGCTTGATTCCGGCTTTAACGAGACTGTTGGCGTCACTTGTGTTTCGTCGCATTATGGTGCCTCGCGAAACACTGACTCGAGAGAAATAAGCAGGATTCCGGCCTGGTAGGGGTTGCGTTGACCAAATTTTCACACTCCGTCTGGTGCTGAAGAGGCACTTGAAGTTGTGGAGCGTTGTACATATCTTGGAAGTTGTATTAGTTCCGATTGTGGTGTGACAGATGAGGCCAATGCACCAATCTGGAAGGCCCGGGTCGCGTTTGCCAATTTGAGACACCTATGGTGTCGAAGTGGTATGCCCCTGAATCTCAAGGGACGTGTGTATCAGGCTACAGTACGGGTTGTTTTGTTGTATGACTGTGAGACTTGGCCTGTTCGAGCAGCGGCACTGAGACATCTTCAGGTGTTCGACACTCGTTGTCCAAGAACCATAGCTCGTGTGGGTTGGTGTCGGCGAATCCGTAACGGGGCAGTTAGTAAGCGCGTTTTCGGTTGTGCAACGGGTAGTTCCATTGCAGAATGCGTTCCTCCGTGGAAAGGCGAGTTCAAGAATATCGGCGAAATGCACCCTTTGATCATCCAGCGGTTGACTGTGACCACCGGCGCTTTATTCAATATGGTCATGATATACCGTCAGAGGCCTTACGGGACAGAATTCGGCGTCAGACTAAGGCGGGGTCTCCGAACAAAATCCTTTCTCCACCGCCTTCTGAGTTGGACTATGTACCCTCTTAAAGTTTGTGTGTGGTGTGTCCCCAAAACAGTCATGCGAGGCTCAGAAGTAGTCAGGACGAACTCAACCTTTTTACATGATCTAGAGGCGATAGCACGTGGAATGAGTGCTCCAGAGCTGAATGCACTCTGCTGGATTGAACTCCAGTGGACAGTCGTTTTTGCGTTGTTCGCTGGATATGAACTCGGTTTTTAGTGTAAGCTTATGTTCCATTGGACCGCTGTTCCCACACCAAGGAGAATTTTCTGCTTAAATTTATCCGGCTCTGCCCGTCAAGAAGCAACAAAATTGCCATCCTTGCGAGTGACATGAATGCATAGGTCTGTAGTCTCACTCTGGGATCACATGACGGAGAGACCCCAGTCGTGTGTTGATCTGGAGCTCTTTCTGGCCAGCACGAATTTTCAACACGCTTGGGCCCAGTAATCTGGTAGTCACTAAGTACAAATCAACAGTGGATGAGGCTAATAGTCGCCGCTGGACAGTCACAATCCATGACTGTGACATTCGTAGTTGTACGTGGGCCTGGATACCGTCAGGATACCTATACTTAGAAAAGAAGACGATAAGGGTCCTGGAAAAAGTTTTCGGCCCAATATCCCGACCGCAACGCAACGGATCGGAACAAGTAGCCGTGCCAGTTTCAACCCACAACCTGGAAAACTAGTCGACTGTGAATGTCAGACGTTTATCCACTGCCATTTGGGTCACTGATGTACACGAAACGCCACATTTCGATAAGATCCAGTCCCTTTACAGCGAAGAGTTTAAGGGAAGGCTGGGAATTCTTGTGGCCAATGAAAGCGCAGAAGATGAAGGCTTTTGCCATTGGTAACAGTCTTGTCTTATGCCACTGAATTCGATCGACTGGCCAAAGAAAGACAGCTATCTGTGAACAAGACGGCTGTGCGAGGCATTCGCAAAAACACCCACAAAAAAGATGAGCCGAGCTGCTCGGGGAATACCTTAACTCGATTGTAATACAGCCTCTGGAGTCAGTGCATACAGGGGAACTGGCCGTCGTGCCTAGCTGCCATGCCACACTAAGGAGGCACGGGGGCTGGGATACTGCCAGGTCGCCCAAGCCTAGACAGGTGAAGTCGAGAGGCAGAGGGCTGGTTCGAACCATGGACCTCCCGGTCAGTAGATTCGGAAGAAATAGAGTGCGGAATGTCCCTTGTAAACCGTGAGAAGATACAAGGACCGGATGGTTTATATTCAGCGCTCCTCAAAGAAGGCGGAGAACCTCCGTTTATACACCCTTATGCAGTTAAGAGAAAATGTCCGCAGAATGGGACAAGGTAACATTCGTGAGCAGTCATCCTCAAAAAGTTGCGCGGCCAGTGTGAAAATGCATATCATATTAAATACTCCAAATAACTCTGCCTTGAATATTGGTATGCGCTTCACACCTGTAAAGTCTAGAGTCCTGCTGTAAGATAGGGTAGGATCAACCTGAACCTCGCGTTTGTGCTTGTGCCGACTGAGGTGATAGAAAAATTTATCTGCCTGAATAACTGTGTCCATGTCAGTGGTCTAGTCTAGTTAGAGACTATTTCCTTCTAGTTCCTGAAGGCCGTTGTGGATTTTCGTAATCTATCGTCCGTGGCGTATGCATGATATCAGCTAATCTGTCAAGTGTATAATGCTGCAATATGCACCATACTGTTATATCGTCCAGAAACTTGGACACTGGGCTGAGGATGTTAGAAATCTTTTAGTGATTGACCAATGCTCGAGTCTGCTGGGAATGTCAGATCAGTAGTGCTGGAGTACGCCGAGTGGTAGTGGGGGGAATAACTCACTCACGATAAATAGGCAGGCAGGTCATATTGGTTTTTCCTGGTTTGGCCAGTCGACTGACTTCCTCGGGCTACCCTTCTTACGCAACTCCTGGTAGGGTATAAACGCGTCCGAGTAGTAGAAGCGATGATTCAACAGCGTGTTGTGATAGCCATTACCAGCTGAGTCAGATGCGCTGATCATTGCTGTTTCCAGGGTTTAAAGCCCCAGAAGAGACGCACCAATGGCTGGAGAAATCGGCGTTCCCAATGGTAAGTATGCAAGTTTCACCTATAAACCAGGTGAAAATTGCACTTTCACTACCGCATTCACGCGTCATTGATGTCAGCCTCTATGTTGAATGCGCAGCTATTTACGTATACTTCCCCAAATTATTTGCGATCGAAACAGTGCAGGTGGTTAAGGACGACCAGTATCATTCGAACAACCAAATATGGGCTGGATGCCACAAGGTAACTCATTTGCGGCGAAAGTCTGCAGCGCATAGCGCTTTTGAATTCCTTGTATTTAGTGCGCTATGATCCGCCGCGAATGCAGATGGTACAGGGCTTCAGATTCCCTATCCACAATAGGTCAAAAGACCCTGCGATAACGACATTCGTTGAAAGATTTCTGATTGTTCATGGATCACCATAGGCCAAGAGCTTCTAGTTTTAAGCAGATTTCCAATCTGTCAAGCCGTTGTTATAATTTAACGACTCTAACCTACCGTATTCAGTTGAATCGCCTTTCAGTCCTTTTCCTCATGATACGTCCTTTGGAGGAAGAAAATATCTCACAACGAGTATGGCATTCACAGGAGGCAACTTGAGCAGTTCAGGGTTGGGTCACTTTCGAAGTTGATGTTTCGACTTCTCTCTCCCAGGAGAAGCACCCTAGTACCTGGCCCAACCAGTTCTTCATTGACAATTGCGCTCCCGACTGTCGTCTTACAGCCATCTTCCTTCATTCGACGCGAAAAGCCGATAGACGCAGGGCAGTGAAGCCTCAGTGTTGAACACTGATGTCATTCTGTCGATGATGATGTTAGCTAGAATATTTCCTGTACAGTTTCAGAGCGAATCAGACTGATTGATTTGTTGTTTGTCGGACATGCCAATGCGTTAGACCACCAGAGCACAAAAAATCGTTCAGCTGTAACACTTTCAGTGCCCAGCTACCATACCACCCGAAGGAGGCACGAGGGCTGGGATACTGCCAGGTTGCCCAAGCCTAGACAGGGGAAGTCGAGATGCAGAGGTCGGGTTCGAACCACGGACATTCCGGTCAGTAAATTTGCGCTCTAACCACTGAACTATCTCGCAAATTAGATATGCAAAGCTGATTTCTCCTTAATCTCATGCTGTAAGAGACAGAACATTTACGATTCTTTGATCTTGGGACGTTGCTGCTGCATGTCCATACATTGTGTTTCATCTCTGTCACCTTGCGGTGTTTCCAGATACCTAAACCGTATACCTGGCTCACGAGGTTATTCTTCACCAACTCTAACAACCAGCGATGAGCTTACATCATCCGGCCCTCTAACGACTACATCACCTATGTTTGAGGTGGAAACTGAGGCGACTCTCCCACCAATGTTGCTGGAAGTGCAACAGTTATCCAACACATTGACGAACCTTGCAAATGGCCAACCTGGACAAACTGGGGCCTCAATTTCTCCCCTACAAAAACTTCGTCGTGATGTTCCCGCAGTTCCACCAGCCCTACGATTACAAGCGAAAATTTATCACGGCTTGGGTATGTTGCGGGTTCTTCGTTAGTATACTTTTACATGCGCCCTTTTTTGCGGTGTTTAAGGGAGCCTTTCTTGTGCTTATGAGTGGAAAGTGAGATTTTCTTACAAGACACGAGCCCAGTATTTTCGCGGCGCCTTGTGCTGGCCTTCTAGAATTCTTGTTGCAGCAGATCGTGCTTGTTTGCTTTTATACGTGGCTAGTTTGGCCTCCTTCCGGTATGTCACATGGCGTATGCTTTTAGACACCAACAGCCCGGTGAAGTGAACCAGACAATTTATATTAACTAAGAGCCTATAAGGATCTAAGTCTAAAGTTGTTCGGTCCGAATTTTATTCTCCAGCCGAGCTTTATATGGACAACGGTCAGCTGAGCGAGGCAAAGGAGGCATTGGACGAAGCTACAAAGATAACCGGTCTTGACATGGAAACTTTATACCTGGTGAGTGTCTTATCTTGCTTCTAAATCGTATTTTGCCATCTTGTAAAAACATTACATTTTGGACAAAGTACGTTCAGTCTTGGCGGCAAGCGGTTTGTCCAATAGTTGTATTGCTGCTCTGTGAGTGTGTGCTCTTAAAACGCCCAACTTTACCTCGTTTTGGAGTTGTTCTGGCGTGTATTGAATTTCGGTACAGCGGATTAGACTAGGGTGTGACCGAACGCAGCTTATAAACTCCATGCCAACATTGAAGAAAGTGGATTTCAAACCAAGTGGTGGACCGTTTACAGGCAATATTCTTTCGAATTCGGTATGGTCATCTCACATGTTTCTGAGCTTCAAAACCTCCGTTATTAGGGTAGAGCTCCCCTGAGATTCGTCAGCGGTGATCGTTTTGTCAAACAGGGACTTCTTTTCTAAATTCCTCACTATCAAGCATCCCAAGGCAATCAGGAGCCCTACCATACCACTAAGTTACTGCTGAGTAACCTCATCTCGTCCTCCTTAATGAGGTTCCAAAGACTGAAGAGGACATGGTAGGAATACAGGATAATGTCACACAGACCTGAGCCCACTGTCTTACATACTGCGTAACTTTTTTATGTACAGGGACCCACAACACCGTACACTACGCATCTCTTTAAACCAGATCTTCCCTCCAATGCGAACAACACTCTCGGCTGCGCCCTACAACTCAAACGAGCTGCCTTTTTTAACACCCATGGGTGGTTTTCTTGCGTAGCCACCACCGTCTGCAGCGAATGACGTTTCTCCACATTTTCAAGATTAGGCCGCGCTTCCTCTTTGTGATTCATAAGCTCCTCGTTGGAGGTGATCAGTTATTCCCGTGATTTTACCCAAGAGGACTGCTTGAGCCGATCGTTTGTCAAACTTAAGGGAGGGAGTTGGACCGGTATTGGAGTACCTAGACCTGTGGCTTTTTGGAATTCGAAATTTTCGAAATAGTGAAACAACTCTCAGAGCTTCTTGAAAGTTATTTTGAGCACAGCTAGAAGGGCGAGTGTAAATTGTTTACTGATACAACGTAGGGTTTGTACTGTTTGGTGCCAACGAACGCAAGATCGGCTAACTCACTGATCGTTGATATTACGACACTGATAACAGAATGCATAGTTTTACCACGGAGCGTAAAACTAACGTGCTGATTTGGAACGACAGACGTCCCTCAATGTTAGCAAGTTACCGTCCAGCGGTTAACCGTATCACTGCTTTTGTGCTTACAGCGTGGCCTCCTGACTGACAGACAAGGGATCTTATCAAAGGCTCGTTCAATCTATGAAAGTGTTATAGCCATTCAGCCCGATCACCTGGCGGCACACCTGGCTCTGGTGAGTCCCTTGTTAGCCCGAATTTCTGGGTTCGACCCGATTCTTAAAATGGTTTACTGAGTAGCTTGGCATGACAAGTCACCTGACGGCTAGTTTGGAGCTTCTAGGTAGATTTATTTCTCACATTTCCGTGAATAGGGTATGAGACATTTATCATAAGTAACTCAGAGTAAGAGCACAAATGGAGGACGACAGTCCTTAAAAGTGTACGGCCTCTAGACATGCGAATCATTGACATCGATAAATTACAACTATCTTGATTTACACGGCATTTGTGTTCACTGTCATATCCACACATCCTCCATATCTGGCTAAAAGTTTACTCGGGTGGTTGCTCCAATCCCTCTGTTACCAATTACTCGTTTATGGGAGACTTAGACCAGGCGACACAGTTACGACTTTGTGCTTGCGAACATCGCCTAGGCCTCTCTCACTAGTTTGTATTCTGTGACAAGGTCAGTCGGCGTGATCTTCACAAAAATTACTATTTTTCAGGCTGACTTACTGAAACGGACTGATCAAGCCGTTCTGGCTGAACGCGTAATTCGGGATGCAATGTACATCGACCCCACCAGTTGCCAGGTCTGGCACCTTCTCGCGGAAGTACTTGCTCTACCTAGTGCATCAGAACCCCCTTCGGACTCGGTTATTACAAAAGCTCTTTCTAATGCCATCGAACTGCAGCAGACCGAACCATTAGAGCAATTCTACAAGCTGCCCATTGGACTGCCCTGTCGCTAGCGTTGTTGGATTCGGCCCGAGTTACCCTATTCGCACTTCTGCACGCACTCCAGGTCTTTCAGCCGTGGTTTACTTCCTCTCCTATAACTTGTTTGTGGCTACTGTGACGATCAGATATATCGCTTTCCGAATTAAGTCTGTTCTTTCTAACAACCTCTGGATGGAGTACCCTAAAATAGAACTGTTTCTGATTTTTGGGGGGAATTCTCGACAGCCAACTTAGGGTCTGACTGATTGGTTTAGACACAACCCTACAGACCAGAATGTACTTGGTTCGAACTTAACCCCTGCATCTCGACTGCTGCTGTCTAGGCTTAAGCAACTTGGCAGTATCCCGGCCCTCGTGCTTCCTTTGGGCGGCATGGCAGCTAGACAACGAAAGGGTACTACAGCTGAACCACTGTCATCATCATTGTCAGCTGTAATAACCGCGCACTCGTTGTACAGTGGTTGTAGCTGCCGCAGTTTCGTTCACCGATGATTTGTGGGGAGGGGTAGGTAGCTGCGCGTTGCAGGCGGGAGCTGATAAATTGGTGCATAAATCCAGCACTGTCAGTGGGCTGTCAAGTGTGGGGGGGGGTGGAAAAGGAGCTATGCATTGAAGGCAACAGCTTGGATGCACGAGCGCCATTGAGTGCGCGACTGGGCCATATCTGACTGTCTCTAGCCATTGATGTGGCCCGTCTCGGGGTCCCCATCCAGGAAGACGG